TTTAGTTTCCTGGCCAAGCCCAGCTGCGGTCGCGCAGACACAGACATGGCAGAATGGCAGGAAACAGGGCTGAGACTCCCCATGGCAGGGGACCATCTCCATCACTCCCCGCCTCCACAGCTCCTGGAGAAGTGCTTTGCCAACCCGACTTCACCCCAACTCGGCCCATTGTATCAGATATCTCGGCGATAAGAACCCTACCAGTGGAATGCAATTGTAGTATCAAGGATATAGTTTGTTTTCACAAGGGAAGAATTTATCTAACATAGATGCTACGCCCAAAGCGATATTATCGTTATTATATTCCCCTTTCCGTCCCAGGAAAGCCACAAAGGTCTCTGAAGGATCACTGCAACAGAATCTTTTCCCATCTCCCACTGCCAAAAGAGGAGAGAAAAGTAAGCAAGATGAGCTAAACCCTAATAAAAGAGGTATGGTCTGATCATCCAAACTCATTGGGAAGGTAGTTATATTCTAAGAGATAAAACCAGCGGGGGGGGGGGGTGGGGAGTGTATCGATCAATTTCCTTGAGGTTTGCTGATTACAATGCAAAGGCTATTTTGTAAAGTTGAAGGTGTATCGTTTTCCTTCCCCACTTTATTGCCACAGCCCTCGAATGGCTGGTGGAGGACAGAACATGCAAACACAGCCTTACAAAAGCGTGAAAATCAATAGATGCAAACCCTGGCACCTGCACCGCCCCCGAGTTCCTTACGGAGGAAGAAAAGACAAGGAGCAGGCTGCCCTGCAGCCAGGCCCAGCTGAGTTATCTCAAGGTCCTACAGATATTTGCTATCTTTTCCCCCAGGCTTTAACCCCTAATCGTTTTATAACCGTAATTGCTTTTAACTCCCCGGGCTGTAAATCCATACTGCCACACAACAGGCTCCCCATCCAGTGCCACGATCTCAGCCAGTGCTTACTTTTAAAATATTTAACTTCTGCAGGCTACCCAGTAACTCGCTGGGTGTTGCCAAGGTCCTGAGAAGGTTTTTAATTCTTAAGCAGGTACGTGAAACTGAACCTGTTCTAAGAGGTCACATTTTTTTTTTCAGGTAATCTAGAACGCATTCAGGTATTGTAAATGCTTTTGTTGAGTATTTGACCTTGAAAATCAACCAGCAACGTAAGAACCTAGGCTATATTGGGCATATATAGTGCTCAACCTGTACTTCTTTCCCTGGGGGTGGTTACAGGGTGAAGATTTGTATCAGCTTTCTGCAGGCTGAGCACTGAGATGAAAAGTCTGCTTTTCTCAGCCCATCACACTCCTTCATCTCCGGTGACACATCTCCATCCCACAGTTACTTAAGTCGCTATCTTAAAAATAAGAACCTGCCTTTCAAAACATCTCGCCCTGGGACCAATTCCCATTTTAAAGGCTCGTGAGACAGGCTGTGTTATCTCCTGCCTCTCCAAGGTAAAATGCGGTAACTCTGCAGGGACACAGCAGTGGGGGTTCCTCAGACAATGAAGCCTTTATTTGCTTTACTAAGTTATGCCATTTTTACATTCTGCTTCCTGTTTACTGGCCTTTCTCTTCATTTACGGAAACGAATACAACGGCACATAAAAATGTTTCAAAAGTAGGTGGTGCTCTCTTACCAGCTTCTCAGCCCTGCTCTGCGGGATTGGCAAACGAGAGCTACGAGGATTGACGTGCACGGAGTTTATTAGTGACTAATTTGAGATCTTTCTTAACTGTTGAAAGTGCTGAGTTCTCAAATGTCTTTTTGCTACATACCATCCTGAAGAGCAGTAATAATTACTTCAAAAGCACATGCCAAGCCATGTAAAATCTTGTCCTGCTGCACAGACCATACGGACAGAAAGCTCTCCTGAAGGGCAGGGAGGATCCTCACAAATAAAGCCCATCGCAGGTGAAAAAGCCTTTGCTTGCGTGGATCCTGTTTCTCTTTTACAGCATGTGGCCACGTCCCCAGACCTCAGTTAAGTTTGGATTTCCTGTGTGAAGCGGTGCAGCGTATCGCTTCTCTCTGTCAGGTTTTTTAGACTTGGATGGTGGCAAGATCAACAACTTTGGATGGTTTTGGACGGTCACATGGCAGGTGGCAGCTGGAGAATACAGCACCCTGCTCCAGCTCGGGGGTGGTCCAGGCACTGATCAGCAGCAGAGGAAGAGCCTCAGGGAAATGCTGGGTTGCCCGGACTGTCCCCTTCCAGCTGCTGAAGGTCAGGACACACAGCTGGTAAAAGGTCAGGGTGCTGGTGGATGAGAAGCTCAACGTGAACCAGCCCAAGAAGTCCCCTCCATCCTGGGCTGCATCCACAGCAGCGTGGCCAGAAGGGCGAGGGGGGGGATTCTGCCCCTCTGCTCCACTCTGGGGAGACCCCCCCACCCAGTGCTGCCTCCAGCTCTGGGGCCACCAACAGCAGAAGGACATGGAGCTGTTGGATGGGGCCAGAGGAGGCCACGGAGATGCTGGGAGAGCTGGAGCCCCTCTGCTGGGAGGACAGGCTGAGAGAGTTGGGGGGGTTCAGCCTGGAGAAGAGAAGGCTCCGGGGAGACCTTAGAGCCCCTTCCAGTCCCTCAAGGGGCTCCAGGAGAGATGGGGAGGGACTCTGGATCAGGGAGGGGAGCCATAGGACGAGGGGGAAGGGTTTGGCACTGAAAGAGGGGAGATGGAGATGAGATGTGGGGAAGAAATTGTTGACTGTGAGGGTGGTGAGAGCCTGGCCCAGGTTGCCCCGAGAAGCTGTGGCTGCCCCATCCCTGGAGGGGTTCAAGGGCAGGTTGGAGGGGGCTTGGAGCAACCTGGTGTGGTGGGAGGTGTCCCTGCCCAGGGCAGGGGGGTGGGACTGGATGATCTTTAAGGTCCCTTCCAACTCCAGCCATTCTGTGACCCTATGACCCGTGGGGCAAAGGCAGTTGAGCAGAAGCTGCTGACCACAGCCTGGAGCAGCGTGGCTCACCTCAGCCACAGGCCCACCCAGGGCAAGACACGCACCAGGAAAGGAGTGGGGCTCATGTGGAGCGGAGCACCCTCTCATTTGCCGGTATCAAGCAGGGGCAGGCAGGAACCCCGCGGGGAGAGGAGCAGCTCAGGAAGCGGCACTGCTGCTGAGTCAGCGGAAGGCCCCATTGCGTGGAGATCGGCTCCTCAACGGCTCCGGTGCAAGAGCTGCTGCCACCTTCCCGAAAGCAACTCCCCGCCTTGGCACGCACACAGGTATCTCACAGGTCCCATCACTACCAGCTCACCAGGAGGGGAAGGAGAGACGAAGCTCAGGAAAAAACAGGAGAGCCCAGCTGTTTGCCAGGTGAAATGGGCAAAACCAAAGCTGGCCAAGCCCCATCTGCAGACAGTACCCAAGGACGGGGGACAATGTAAGTCACCAACAAACCTAGAAATGCCACAATTCAAGTGCAGAGACCCAAGGAACAGTACGTCTGGGTCCAAAACAGAGGGAGAAAGTGTCAGAAAAGGCAATTCCCCACTCTGCAGTGACTCATTGTGGTCGGTGCCTGGTGGTACCCACTAGTGGGTGACACGGTGCCACAGCACAACCATCCCCATCCACAGCCCAGACAGACCAGCGTCCCAGACACCACTTGGTCTTCCACTGGCTGTGCTGGCTGCTGGGTGCTACATGCTTAGAGTTGTAGAATCGTGGAAAGGTTTGGGTTGGAAGGGACCTTAAAGACCATCCAGTCCCACCCCCCTGCCCTGGGCAGGGACACCTCCCACCACACCAGGTGGCTCCAAGCCCCATCCAACCTGGCCTTGAACCCCTCCAGGGATGGGGCAGCCACAGCTTCTCTGGACAACCTGGGCCAGGCTCTCACCACCCTCACAGCAAAGAAGTTCTTCCTGAGATTTCCTCTCAATCTCCCCTCTTTCAGGGTCAAACCCTTCCCCCTCCTGCTATGGCTCCCCTCCCTGATTCAGAGTCCCTCCCCATCTCTCCTGGAGCCCCTTGAGGGACTGGAAGGGGCTCCAAGGTCTCCCTGGAGCCTTCTCTTCTCCAGGCTGAACCCCCCCAACTTTCTCAGCCTGTCCTCCCAGCAGAGGGGCTCCAGCCCTCCCAGCATCTCCGGGGCCTCCTCTGGCCCC